GTAAAAAAAAGGAGAAAAAATTCCTACAGCTAAACAATAAAAAGACAACCCAGTTGAAAAATGAGTAAAGGACTTGAATAGACATTTCAACAAAGAACATACACAAATGGACAATAAGCACATGAAAAGATGCTCAATGTCATTAGTCATTAGGAAAATGCAAATCAAAACCACAAAGAGATACCATTTCACTCTCACAGTGATGGCTGTTATTGGAATAATGGAAAACAAGTGTTGGTGAGGATGTGAGAAACTGGGACCCTCATCTGTTGCTAGTGGGATTGTAAAATGCTATAGTTACCGTGGAAAATAGTTTGGCAGTTCCTCAAAAAGTTAACATGGAATTGTCTTATGACCTAGCAGTTCCACTCCTAGGTATATAGTCAAAAGACTTGAAATCAGGGACTCAAACAGATACTTGTACACCATCACAGCGTCATTCACAATAACCAAAAGGTGGAAACAACCCAAGTGTTCATCAACAGATGAATGGATAAACAAAATGTAGTATATCTATACAATGGAATATTATTCAACCATAAAGAGAAGTGAAGTCCTGATACATCCTACGGCATGGATGAACCTTGAAAATATTATGTTGAGTGAAATAAGTCATTCACAAAAAGAAAAGTACTGTAAGGGGTCCTGAGTTTCTGTTAAGGGCGATGAAAAAATTTGGAAATGGATAGTAGTGATAGTTGCATAACATGGTGAATGTAATTAGTGTCACTGAAATGTACGTGTAAAAATAGTTGAAATGTTTTGTTATATACACTTTACCACCACTTATCTTGTTGTTGTTGTTAGATGCCGTCAAGTCGGTTCTTACTCATAGTGACCTATGCACCACAGAACAAAACACTGCCGGGTCCTGCGCCGTGCTCACAATCTTTGTTATACTTGAGTCCATTCTTGCAGCCATTGTGTCAATCCATCACGTTGAGGGTCTTCCTCTTTTTCACTGACCCTGTACTTTACCAAGCGTGATGTCCTTCTCCAGGGACTGATCCCTCCTGACGATATGTCCAAAGTATGTAAGACAGTCTCACCATCCTTGCTTTTAAGGAGCGTCCTGGTTGTACTTCTTTCAAGACAGATTTGTTCGTTCTTTTGGCAGTCCATGGTATATTCAATATTCTTCACCAACACCACAATTCAAAGACTCCAATTCTTCTTCTGTCTCCCTTATTTACTGTCCAGCATTCACATGCATTTGATGTGATTGAAAATACCCTGGCTTAGGTCAGGTGCATCTTAGTCTTCAAGGTGACATCTTTGCTTTTCAACACTTTAAAGAGGTCTTTTGCGGCAGATTTGCCCAGTGCAATGTGTCTTTTGATTTCTTGACTGCTGCTTCCATGGGTGTTGATTGTGGATCCAAATAAAATGAAATCCTTGACAACTTCAGTATTTTCTCCATTTATCATGATGTTGCTTATTGGTCCAGTAGTGAGGATTTTTGTTTTCTTTATGTTGAGGTGTAATCCATACTGAAGGCCGTAGTCTTTGATCTTCATCAGTAAGTGCTTCAAGTCCTCTTCACTTTCAACAACCAGAGTTGTGTCATCTGCATAAGGCAGGGTGTTAATGAGTCTTCCTCCAATCCTGATGCCCAGTTCTTCATATAGTTCAGCTTCTCGGAATATTTGCTCAGCATGCAGATTGAATAGGTGTGGTGAAAGGATGCAACCCTGACGCACACCTTTCCTGACTTAAAACCATGCAGTATCACCTTGTTCTGTCAGAACTGCTGCCTCTTGATCTATGTACATGTTCCTCATGAGCACAATTAAGTGTTCTGGAATTCCTATTCTTCGCAATGATATCCATATTTTGTTATGATCCACACAGTCGAATGTCTTTGCATAATCAATAAAACACAGGTAAACATCTTTCTGCTTTCTCGGTTTTCAGCCAGGATCCATCTGACATCAGCAATGATATCCCTTGTTACATGTCCTCTTCTGAATCCAGCTTGAGTTTCTGGCAGTGCCCTGTCGACATACTGCTGCAACCACTTTTGAATGATCTTCAGCAAAATCTTACTTACATATGATATTAATGATATTGTTTGATAATTTCTGCATGTGGTTGGATCACCTTTCTTGGGAATGGGCATAAATATGGATCTCTTCCAGTTGGTTGGCCAGGTAGCTGTCTTCCCAATTTCTTGTCATAGACGAATGAGCACTTCCAGCTCTGCATCTGTTTGTTGAAACATCTCAATTGATGATTCCATCAATTCCTGAAGTCTTGTTTTTGATGAATGCCTTCAGTGCAGCTTGGACTTCTTCCTTCAGTACCACTGGTGCCTGATCATATGCTACCTCTTGAAATGGTTGAACATCCACCAGTTCTTTTTGGTATAATGACTCTGTATTCCTTCCATCTTCTTTTGATGCTTCCTGCATCGTTTAATATTTTCCTCATAGAATCCTTCACTATTGCAACTCCAGGCTGGAATTTTTCCTTTAGTTCTTTCAGCTTGAGAAATGCCAAGCACGTTTTTCCCTTTTGGTTTTCTATCTCCAGCTCTTTGCACATGTCATTATAATACTTTACTTTGTCTTCTCAAGCCACCCTTTGAAATCTTCTGTTCAACTCTTTTACTTCATCATTTCTTCCTTTTGCTTGAGCTACTCACTGTTAAAGAGCAAGTTTCAGAGTCTCTTCTGACATCCATTTTGGTCTTTTTTTTCTTTCCTGTCTTTTTAACGATCTCTTCCTTTCTTCATGTATAATATCCTTGATGTCATTCCACAACTCATCTGGTATTTGATCATTAGTGTTCAGTGCATCACATCTATTCTTGAGATGGTCTCTAAATTCAGGTGGGATATACTCAAGGTTGTACTTTGATTCTCATGGACTTGTTCTAATTTTCTTCGGTTTCAACTTGAACTTCCATATGAGCAATTTATGGTCTGTTCTGCAGTAGGCCCCTGGCCTTGTTCTAACTGATGATATTGAGCTTTTCCATCATCTCTTTCCACAGATGTAGTCGATTTGATTCCTATGTATTCCATCTGGCCAGGTCCATGTGTATAGTCGCCGTTTATGTTGGTGAAAAAAGGTATCTGCAATGAAGAAGTCATTGGTCTTGCAAAATTCTGTCGTCTGATCTCTGTCATTGTTTCTGTCACCAACGCTGTGTTTTCCAACTACGATCCTTCTTGTTTCCAACTTTTGCATTCCAATCACCAATAATTGTCAATTCATCCTGATTACATGTTCAATCAATTTTAGACTGCAGAAGCTAGTAAAAATCTTCAATTTCTTCATCTTTGGTCTTAGTGGTTAGTGTGTAAATTTGAATAATAGTCATATTAACTGTTCTTCCTTGTAGGCATATGGATATTATTCTATCACTGACAGCATTGTACTTCAGGATAGATCTTGAAATGTTCTTTTTGACAGTGAATGCAGTGCCATTCTTCTTCAAATTTTCATTCCCGGCATAGTAGACTATATGATTGTCTGATTCAGAATGGCCAATACCAGTCCATTTTAGCTCACTAATGCCCAGGATATCAATGTTTATGCTTTCCATTTCATTTTTGAAGATTTCTAATTTTCCTAGATTCATACTTCGTGCATTCCATGTTCAGATTATTAATGGATGTTTGCAGCTTTTTTGTCTCATTTTGAGTTGTGCCACATCAGCAAATGAAGGTTCCAAAAGTTTGACTCCATCCACGTCATTAAGGTCAACTCTACTTGGAGGAGACAGCTCTTTCCCAGTTGTCTTTTGTGTGCCTTCGAACCTGAGGTGCTCATCTTCAGGCACTATATCAGAAAATGTTCTGCTGCTATTCATAAAGTTTTCACTGTCTAATTCTTTTTAGAAGTAGACCGCCTGGTCCTTCCTAGCCTGTCTTAGTTTGGAAGCTCCATTGAAACCTGTCTGCCATGGGTGACCCTGCTGGTATCTGAATATACCAGTAGTATAGCTTCCAGCATCACAGCTACACACAAGCCCCCACAGTATGACAAACTGTCAGACATGTGGGGGACAATTTAGCTTGAACAGAGGGAGACAATTTGTCTAGGGAGTGTGTATTGATAGAAAAAAGAGGTTCATTAGATTTAATACTGAGGAGACAGAAAATATTTAGCTAGCTAGGAGGAAAGCAGGAGAGTATTGTATACAGGAAACCAAGTTAGGAAAGTGTAGATTAAACTTTTCACACAGATAAAATATCATTAAACAGATGATGTAATTTAAGTCAATTGAATTTAATAGACACTTGTGAGCACTTGTGGGTACAAGGCATAGGGAATGGACACAAAGATAAGACATAATCCCTCCTTTCAGTATATCCATGTAAAGAGCAAATTATAGAACACAGTATATACTAGTATATATATGTTATTAATTATATATATATAATAGTATATATATATATTAATTATATATATATATATACATATATACTAGCTTAGTCCAATCACATTGCAGCCTAGGATGGCACAACCTGGTGTTGGTATTAATGCTACCATTCCTGCTTTCTCCAGGTTCAGTGCTCGAATGAAGAGTTTAGTTGTGCTAGTGGAGCCCTGGTGGCACAGTGGTTAAGAGCTTGGCTGCCAACCAAAAGGTTGGTAGTTCAAATCCACCAGCTGCTCCTTGGAAACCCTATGGGGCAGTTCTACTCTGTCCTGTAGGGTCGCTATGAGTTGGAATCGACTTGATGGCATTGGGTTCAGTGAATACAAGGTGTGGGAGAAAGGTATGAGATTACCACTTTCCTCTGAAGTAAGAGTGGATGATGGCAGGCATGGGAATGGTTTTTAGTGCTTTGGGGAAATAGTTACAAAGAAAACTCATCAGACTACTTAAAAAGCAGAAAAATGTAAGAACAGTTGGTATCTGGGTGGTGTGAGTTTTATTTTTAAAATTGTGTTTATCTCTTCCAAATTTTCTACAGTAAACATTATGTAATAAATTATGTGTAGATACTTGTTCTAACTAAAATTTTCAACTGAATTATTTTCCACAGAGAGAAGTTGCAGCTAACAGCCAGAATGGAGAGGAAATTGTTCCTCCTTTGACTTTAAGTGTCTTGATTACACAGCTAGAAGCAGCACTGAAGAACATTCAAGCTAATAATTATATTGTAAGTGTTTTCTTTTTGAAAGTTTGAAATGGATAATATTTTTCAATGAAAGAACAGCAAGTAAGTGTTTATTCTGAGATGTAGGCCAATTTGTATTTTCTTCTTTTACCTTTAGAGAAGGAAATCCATAATTTCCTTCCTGTGTGTCTTATGTGACTGCGTCTCTGTAATAGGTTATTCTAGTTTCCTCCCCTACTATAAAGTTGTTCATCCTAAAAACAGAGAAATTTGAACTGCTATAGAAATGGGCCTTCCCAATTAGGAAACAAAGTTATGAACTTCAAAAACTACCCCTCTTTCACTTAAACTACAACAATAAAAATAAAAAAAGTAAAAAAAAAAAAAGAAAAAAGAAACAAGATGCCAAACCTCATGTTATAATAATGTACAAGGAGATAGAAAAAATCTTTATTCAGGGCTCCCAGGGCCAGGTTCTAAGGGGTGATGTACACCCATCCTAAAGGAGGTTCTGGATGGAAACTTGGGTGGAGTTAAAGAGAGTACAAAGAAATGGGAGTTTGCATCAACATGTAATCCTGAGAACTTCTGGGTTGCTGCAGACCTGTTATTTCTCCCACTGACCAGGTTGCCAACCAGTGAGATAAATCAGTATTAGATCAGCATTAACAGATCCCCATTCCTTAGCCCTCTGGACTTAGTCGTTACTTTAAAGATGAGTCTTAGACTGGGAAATGGAAGTGTTGCCTTTCTTGTTAGCACTTGTGAGCAGAACTGGAATTGTCATGATGAAAGCAGCCTGTCCAAATGACTGTCCCTGTCCCTTAAGGTCACACCGAGCGGTGAGAGAGAGGAGTAGGAGGCAGGGAGGTTGCCAGTAGCATCTTTCTATGCACTTGGTTCTGTTACTTGTAATAATTACATTTCTGCTAATGGGGGGGGGGGGGGGGGGGGAAGGAAAGGGCAGGGAATTTAGGCTAGAAATGTACTGTTTTTCCTGTAAATTCCTGAGTTCCTTGCATTCTACTTCTAATCATAGTATTACCACATGTCTGCATCTTTCCTATTCTAAAAATCTTTTTATTTAGAATTGAGTGAGCCAAAGACTCTGTTGTGTTATTTTTGAAGCTAGTGTTTTTTAGTTGCAAAGTAATAGGTGACACATACTTAGTGTTTTCTATATGACAGGTGCTATTTTAAGCACTTTGCAAGTATTAGATCATTTATTCTTCACAAGCACCCCATCTTATTTTTCCCATTTTATAGATATGGAAAGTGAGGCACAGATATTAAATAACTTGCCTAAATTCACCAAGTAGTAAAGTAGTGGATTCAGGATACAAACCCAGGTAGTCTTGGCTCCAGAGCCTGTGCTCTGAATCACTGTATTATACCGCCTCTGCAGAGATGGGAATTTTAAGATGAAAACCAGTTAGATGTGACTGTGGAGTTTGTGTTGTTAAACTCACATAGCCCAGGGAAAACAAACACACGTTTATCTTCACTGGATAATCCCAGCCAGTTAGTGTATAAATGTATACTGTTGGTCATAAGAAGTGTTATAGGTGGGAGAATAGAGTAAGATCAGCGTAAAAAGAAATCTCATATCCTATAGATGTTTATTATTCTTATATATCTGGAAGAATTTTGCTTTTAGTATGGGACAATATCAATAAAAAAAAATTGTTGTTGTTGTTGTTAGGTGCTGTTGAGTTGATTCTGACTCATAGCGACCCTATAGGACAGAGTAGAACTGCCCCATAGAGTTTCCAAGGAGCAGCTGGTGGACTTGAACTGCTGTCCTTTTGGTTAACAGTTGAGCTCTTAACCGCTACGCCACCAGGGCTCTGAAAAAAAAAAAAAATCAGTGTGACAAAAAATTTGGCTGTAATCTTCAGTCGGCATAGAGCTTATGAACAGAATGGGCAACATTTTCTCCATAGAAAATTTTTTTAACTTTTTATTTTGAGATAAATATAGATTCAAAGTATGTTGCAAAAATAATACAGAGAGGTTCTGTGTACCTTTCATTCCGTTTCCCCCAGTGGTTACATCTTACATGACTGAAGTACAATATCAAAAACCAGGAAATTGACTTTCGTACAGTGGGGCTGTATAGGGGTTCCCTAAGACTAGCCCCATGTTCAGAGATTCACCGGGACTCGTAGGACTTAGCTTATAGTCGTGTTAATGACTAAGATTTATTACAATGATAAAGTAAAGGTACACAGCCAGATCATAAGGGGAATATACACAGGTGGAATCTGGAAGAATCCAGGTGCAGGCTTTCTTATACTCCTGCCTCCCATGAGGGGTCACACAGAGCACACTTTTCCTCCAGCAGTGAAAATGCAGCAGCATGTGCAATATTTCCGTCCAGGAAAGCCCATTAGAGACTCAGTGCCTGAGGTTTTTGCCCTAGTTGCGTGCTCTGGCTGCTAATGGAAAGGTCAGTGGTTGGGACCCACCAACCGCCCAGCGGGAGAAAGATGTGGCAGTCTGCTTCCGTAAAGATTAAAACCCATTGTCTCTGAGTTGATTCCGACTCATAGCGACGCTACTGGACAGAGTAGAGCTGCCCCATAGGGTTTCCAAGGAGCGGCTGGTGTATTCAAACTTCGGACCTTTTTGTTAGCAACCAAGCTCTTAACCACTGCACCGCTAGGGCTCCGGTAAAGATTACAACCTTGGACACCCGATGGGGCAGTTCTGCTATGTCCTATAGGGTCATTATAAGACCCGATGGCAACGGTTCGGGTTTTTTTCACATTAGCACCCTCTGTCTAGAAAGTCTGGAAATTCCAAACTTTCAAAGGAACGGAGGTGTTCAGCATAAACCACAGTGTTTGCATGAACAGTCTAGGCATAGCAAGCCACCTTATCAGTTAGGAAACAGTGAGGAGCCTCCCAAAACCTGAGTTCCCAGGCGCTAGCCGAGTGTCAGCCTCGCAAGCACACCATTCTAAGGATAGCAGTCTCATCAGGCCAGCTGTGTTAACTGCACAGGTGTGTATGGTTCTTTGACTGATTATCACAGGAGTATACTTGCGTAACCACCACCGCAATCAAGATACGACTATTCATTACCATAAAAATCTCTTATGCTATGCCTTTATAGTCACACCTCCCCTTCTCCCCCCACTCTCCCTAACCCCTAATCTGTTCTCCATCTCTAATTTTTCATAGCCTATTTTTAAATGCAGGAAATATCCGAGTGTTTGAATTTTTCATTGAAGAAGTGATAAGCTTTATGATTATACTGTTATAACAAAACCCATATGTGGGAAGTAAAAGGTTTTGTTTTAAGAATTAACCATCTTTTTTACACTTGGTGATGGATACTTGGGCATTCATTGTATTATTATCTAAAATGTTTTTGATACTTAAAATATTATATAATAAGAATGATAATTTTTTGAAAGGTTTAGTATAACAAATTTTGATGGCATTTCTTTTCATTTTCTTTAATCAAATTCTAGTGTTTTGTTTCAAGATTAATGACTATACTTTTTATCATTCCTTGGTCAAATTATTAAATCCATCTAAGATGCATTCTCTGTTCTTAAATAATGGATAATATAATGGAAAGTCACTATTTTTTTTTTTTTACTAATTATTAAATAGGGCTAGGATATTTAATTCAGCTGGTGGCGTAGTGGTTAAGTGCTCAGCTGCTAATGAAAAAGTCAGCAGTTCAAATCCACCAGCCACTCCTTGGAAACTTTACAGGGCAGTTCTATTCTGTCCTATAGGGTTGCTATGAGTTGGAATCGACTCGACAGCAATGATTTTTTGTTTTTGTTTTTTAATATACTGAAAAGTAACTTAGTTTACATAACCAATTAAAATATATTTTTTCTTTTCAGGCACACCAGATTAATATTGGTTATTATTTGACATTACTGTTTTTGTATGCGATAGCACTCACTGAAAGAGGAAAGAAGGAGGTGTGTAGCATGTATTATTTGCCTACTATAAATCATTTTACATTTACTGACTTCATTTTAGCACAGTAAAAATTTGAAATTCTCTAAAAATCAAAATGATTTGTTGACTTTTATGTCATACATTTCTAATTTGAGTAATTATGCTGAAGATTATAATGTGAAACTGAAAGTATGTAATAGGAAACTGGTAATATTAGTTTAAAACTTTAGTTATTTTAACTTTATCTTTTAAATGCTTGCTATTTGTGTAATATAAAAATTGTTTAGCTTTTTCATTCAAACATTACATTTTAATGAATTTTCTAGTGTAGCTTAATCTCTCTGGACTTAATCTTACCCTTTTGTAAAATAAGAGTTTTACCTCAAAGTTTTTTGTGGACTAAGATGAAGTACAAATAAGTAAAAATCTAAAAGTTAACCAAATGATTTCTGAGTGACTTCAAATTTAACATTCTCTTTTATTAATTTTCTATGATTTCTCATATTTTCTTTGCAGCCTTGGTATTTCTTTTACTTTTTCTCTTCCCAAATCTATACTCTTTACTTAGCTTCATAAATTAAATACATTCATCTGACTTGTTAATTAGGTGAAGTAGAATGTATAAGCACCCAAGCTAAACCCCCTTTGTTGTAAATAATTTCATGTAATTATTTAATTATTATTTAATGTGATGTGCTAGAGGATATTTTTAAATAAGGCCATGCAGCATTTTTTCCTACTTATTTTTTTCTAAAGGAACCAAGACTTTTATGCCTGTTTTAATTATAACTGAAGCATCTTTTAGAACTGATCCTGATCTTTACTTCCAAACCTATATTGTTTATAATCAATATAGTGCTTCTTTAAAAGAGATTTTGTATCTATGGTCAGGAAGTCACTTATTTCATATTTAAAAAATTAGGAAGATTTATGCTCCAATTAGAAAGAAAAATTAGGAAGAATTATAAAGAATTGTTCTCCAGTAGTCAGTCATCAGAAATTCTTTTATTTTGGCTAGTAATATTTGAAGTGCTAGATATAGAAATTATTTTAAAAAAAAATTTTTCTGAAATGTTGGTTAAAGAAGATCTTAAGTTCTTTTGTAAATTGTATTTTAAGCATGGAATACATCATCTTTGTGAATACATACAGATTTGCTGGGATCAGAGATTTAAATGAATGACTAAATGACTGAATCACTTTCAAAACTGCCCTAATTTCTACAGGTTAGGGAATAATTGTTTATTGCAAAAGAAAAAAACAAAAAAAGGCTTCTATATCAGACAAACCTAGATTTATGTTACTACAGGATTATTTAGAAGCTGAGAGTAAATTTCTGGTGATGAAGATAATGATCCAAGAAAATGAAATTTGTGAAAACTTTATGTCTTTAGTTTATTTTGGATGTGGTTTACTTCGATGTGCTCAGAAAAGGTAAGAATTTTAATTTAATTGGTAGATTTTGCCTGTCACCTTTCAGTATGGTGAAATGGAAGTAAAGTTTGCAGAGAGAACAGGGACCATGACATCTGTGCTCTACTGGTTTGTTCTTCTGTTCTTCATCTTTTATTATAGACAATGATTTCTTTAATACACTTGAGAATATTAAATATCAACTTATTAGGCCATGGCAATGAAAGGCAGTATAGCAAAGACATTAGGAACATAGGCTTCAGAGTTTAACAGATCTGGGTGCAAATATATTTTCTACCAGTTACCTAATCTATGATCCTAGGAAACTTAATGTTGCTGAGTCTTTTTATTTTTTTTAATATGTAAAATGGAGCTAATAATAGTGCTTACTTCATTAGGATGCTGTAGTGATTAACACAGTTCCCAGGACAAAAAAATGCTGTACTTAATAAATTAGTGACAGTTGTAATTATTAATATTATCACCACTGACTTAGAATAAATTTTTAAGGTATAAATGTACTCATAAAGAGTTGAAAGTGTCTAAATGTTTAGTTTCGGGAGTATTGAATATTATATAGCTTAAGAAAGTGAAATTGAACAGGGGGACCTATATGGATACACTGTTCACTTCCTATATGTAGATCCTTAGCCATTTGTAGCATCATTCATTCATTTTGTTTGCTAAATGTTATCATTTTTCAGACACTGTGCCAGGTGTTGGGGATCCAGTGGCTTATGAAATAGTTCTCAGCCTCATGTAACTGACAGCATAGTGAAGCATATAGGCCTTAATACAATAACCATTCAAACAAATAATCAATTATGAAATACAGTAAAGAACTATGAAGGAAAATACTGTGAGCAATCAAAATCTCTAGTGGAGCCCCAGTCTAGTTCTGGGAATCAGAAGCTTTCCCGAGGAAACAATGTTTGGCTGAGATCTGAGGGATGAATTAGGTAAAGTTGGTTTATGTAAACTGTATGATAACTGCTGGTCCCAAACACTGGATCCCTAAAAACATCACCTATGCAGCAGTCCCTGATTCTTTGTAAGGTTTATCTCCCATCGTCTGACATGTATGTTTTTTACTAGAGTATCCAGAGGACTTACCACTTTCTAGTCACTAGATCTGATTAGCATGATGTTGTCACTAAGGTGGGCCAGTGTCATGTTTTGCAGAATATCAAGATGATCAAAACCCCTTCAGTCTATATTGTGACAGAGTAGGAGAATTAACATAGCCCCAAGTCAGGAGAGGAGTCTCTGGGTGGTGCAATTGGTTAACATGCTTGGCTGCTAACCAAAAAGTTGGAGGTTCGAGTTCACCTGGAAGCACGTTGGAAGAAAGTCCTGCTGATTTACTTCTGAAAAATTGAGCACAGTTCTAATATAACATACATTAGGTCACCGTAAGTCAGAATCAACTCGAAGGCAACTGGTTTTAAGATAAGACAAAAAATGTATACTGATGTCCTTCCCTAAGATATGCAAATTACTTTTTATTCTCTTTAATGATGGGCATTGAAAAGAATGCGTTTTTCAGATTATTGACACTAGAAATTTGTGCTCAGAAAAGGTAAGTTGTATGGCAACATCTTTTACTTTTATCTCTGGCTTATAGAGGATAGTCACCATTGAGCTTCTCAAAGGCACTGGTGCCCTTCTCCCTCTGTATCTTTATTGCATTCATGAATAGAGTATCCTCTGGGCCTTTCAGGGGAACATAGGGTCGTGGTGGGTTCTGTGATCTTAATGTAATAAACCCATTCTAACATTCCCATCTCCCTGAGCCTTCGGACCCCTTTAATAGCCTGCCAAGAAATTTCCACCATTTCCACTTCACTTACTGTAGGTCATTGACGTGTTCAGACTCCTAGGAGCCATCTCAGCAGCATCTTAGGACTGACTTCAGGTGTTCTTGCTAGGAAAATTCCTAGGAAAATACAGAAGAGTTTTCTTATATCTGTAAACACTTCCCTATTCAGCCTTATATTTGTCCATTAGTTTAGCACTCTTAAGATCCCCTTTCACACATGCTCCTGCTAGCACATACTAGTCAACTTGTGGCATTCTAATGGCAAATATTTTGTTTTCTCCCCTGGGCAGTGCCTTTATCTCCCGACTTGGGCTCTTCTTATACCTTACCCCAGATTTATTGGTCAGAAGGCAATGAGTGGAGGAGGTAGAGGAGGATCTTGAGGAGAAAGGGCATCATCTTTTGAGACAGCCACGACAGATGATGTCCTTATTTGTTCTCTGAGTAAATGGAGACTGCTCTTCCCTAGCAAGAAATAGGGCTTTGCCAGCCAGAGAGTTCAGAGAAATTTAGGGATTCAGTGTTTCCAAGCACATCCACCGATGTGCCTCCATTTTAGATCTCAGGGCTCACTTTCTCTCTTTCAAAGCCCTGATTTTAGCATAGTAGTTCTGCCAAAGCTTTGCATTTTGTCTGCTTTGAAATTGTTCTACCCTAATGATGAATCCTGGGCCAGATTTTCAGTATAGTCCTCTCTTATGGTTAGAAAGGAGGTGAGGGATTTTTAATGCTAGCATAGAGCCTTCTGGCTTTCACAGTGTGCCCCTGAGTTGATAGTGGCAGCCCTACCAGGCTCTGCATTCTGTCTGTTTTGCAGTTACTACACCTTGTGGGTCTGATTTTCAGCACAGACTATCTTTGAGGAGATGATGGCCTCTTTAAATGCTGCCATAGAAGCCTTCTGGCTTTCACAGTGTGCCCCTATGCCTATCATTCCCTTTCCTCAAGGCTTCCAAGACACTTAACAAAAACCAACCAACTCTATAGTCCCTTTAATTACCATTACCATGGCCCCCTACTGTTCAAGCCTGAGCTACTCCAGAACCTATTGCCTTCCTTCCAGTTTGTATTGTATCCCAATCCACCACAGAGAGTCCTAATATTTGTATTTCTATAGCATGCCAGAGGTTATTGCCACCCTACTTACCATAAAAAAAAAAAATATGAGTTACTTGTTGTCTTATAAGGAGGCCTGGTGGCACAGTGGTTGTGCTCAGCTGCTAATCAGAAGGTTGGTGGTTTGAACCCACCAGCTGCAGCATGGGAGAAAGATGTGGCAGTCTGCTTCTGTAAAGATTTATAAACTTGGAAACCCTATGGGGCGGTTCTGCTCTGTCCTATAGTGTCACTATGAGTCAGAATTGACTCAAAAGCAGTGGATTGGGTTTGGTTTTAGTTGTTGTCTTATTAATTCATTCCAGTTCAAGAATCCCATTCAAGCTAACCTTATTTTATAATGCTTTGTAGATATAATGGAGGACTGCTAGAATTTCATAAAAGTTTACAAGAAATAGAAGATCCAAATGATTATTGGTTTGATATAGATCCTACAGAAGGTGATGACTTACCTACAACTTTTAAAGTAAGAAATTAAGAATAACATTTTTAATGCTTTTCATCTGGGATTAATCAGAATCATCTTTGATAATGTTGTAGTTTATACCAGCTGTTATGTTCTATAGCAAGCAAATTCTTTTATTAGAAATCAGCTTTTTTTATACAGGCAGTCCCCAGGTTACAAACGAGATCCATTACTAAGTGCGTCTTTGAGAATTTGTAGGTTAAGTCAGAATTGGTGCATATGGTTGTTGTTTAGCCTTACTTCAGTGCAAGAAAAGGCTCCAAGCCTTTTCAGTGATTTAAAAGTTGCACATCCAGCAAGTGAAAGTGATTGTAATGAAGAGTTTGTTGCTGCTAGGGGTTGGTTCAGTTGTTGCAAAATGAGGACAAATTTACATAACATTAAAGGGAAAGTTGTTCATAAATCCAACATTGGTATCTCAGGAACTAACTGTATAAGAAACAACCTTGATTGCATTATATAGTGCAGAATGTGAATATGATTCAACAAGTAGAGAAGTGGGGTAGCTGTGTCAGCATTTCCAAATAACAAAAAGTTAATAACAGTACCAGTCCGGTACTAGTAGAGCAAAATGTAATAGTTAACATCTTTTTAAATTATATTTACCATTATTTTTGTGGTTGACTTAAATTACACAATAAATCCTTAGTTCACAAAACTTGGAAAATGTAAAAATGTTCCAAGATAAAAGCAAATTCATCCGTATTTCTAGAAATGGCGAAACCACTGTTAGCATTTTCATTTATGTCTTTCCAGATACACACACTCTTTATTTTTACTAAATTGGTTTGATGTTATACACTCTGATTCGTAGTTTGGAAATATGTAGTATTGTGATTTTCCCAGTGTTATAGATTGAATTGTGTCCACCAAAAATATGTGTTGTAAATCCTAAACCCTTATATGTGGATGTAATCCCATTTGAGAATAGGACTTTCTTTGTTATGCTAATGATACCACATCAGTGTAGGAAGTGTCTTAAATCAGTCACATTTGAAATATAAAAAGAGCAGATTAGGCACAGAGAAGGAATCATAAGGGGAGGGGAAGATACACGTGAAGATCACCAAGGAACAGAAGCTAAAAAGAGACAAGGACCTTTTCCCAGAGCCATAGAGAGGGAAGTCTTCCCCTAGAGCCAGTTCCCTGCATTCGGACTTCTAGCCTCCTAAGTATGAGACAATAAATTTCCCTTTGTTAAAGCCGCCCACTTGTGGTATTTCTATTCTAGCAGCACTAGGTAACTGAGACACCCAGGAATTAGATTACTGTACAATATAATTGGTATATTCCACCATATAACTGTTTTAATTTGCTTAACTAGTTCACTTCTATTGAACATTTAGTTTATCACAAACATTCTAATTTTTCACTATTATATAAAGTGATATTTGCATATTTCTCAGACCATCCTCATAGGATAAATCTCTAGAGGTGGAATTGTGAACAAGTGTTCACAGTCTTGTAAAGTTGTTGACATATATCTCTATATTTCCTTTCAGAAAGTTTGTATTGGTTTATATTCTTAAGATAGAGTATGAGAGTTTCCATTTTCCCATCTTGAAATTAGGGAAATACTTAAATACGGTTTTAACAGTTTCTGGGGATTTTATTCTGTTTCAGTTATCTGTCAGTCCATTCTTGTGACATTTTCATGGTGTTTTAATTACTCTCACTTTTAATGCATTTTAATAATGGCAATTTGAGGTCTTCTCTGTTATTCTTTGTCACGTTATTTTGTCCCTTTATGTGCATTTACTCTTTTAGGTTAAATTTGGGTCATTGTCAAACTTCTCTGAAAATCCCCCTGAAATTTTTAACTAGAATTGCTTTTAATTTATAAATTATTTTAGGGTGAAAATTGACATACTGAAAATATTGAGTCTATCTTTTAGTAAAGATGGAAAGACTCACCATTTTTAGCAAAGTTATTCATTTTTTATATTAAATCTGAACATTTCTTAAGCTGATTAAATATTTTTATTAACCAAATAAGTGAACAAGTGTGTGGGTATGCATGGTATGAATAATTCCTTATATCACTGTATTTCTTTAACTTGTTTATATGGGAGTAAAGGAATGAATTTTTAGATATATATATATATATATATATATATTTAAACTAAGTGGTTTATTTGATTCTCATATATAGGGCACATGGATCTTCAGTTGATTCACTTGTATAATTTTTAAGTAAATAGTCATATCATCTACAAACTATAATAATATTTTCATTCTCTTATAATTATGTTTATTTCTTACTATATATCATAATTTGTTTATTTTAAAAATATTACTGCCAATGCTGGACATCCTTATCTCCTTCCTGATTTTAATATTAATTCCATCTACAATTATGATATTGGTTATTGGTTTAAAATAGATATTCCTTATCATGTGAAGTAAATAATATGCTATTCTGATACAATAATTTAAAAAAAAAATCTTTATTAGATATTGAGTTTATTTTCTGAAAGTAAAGACTGGAGGTTGTAATTTCTAGGTTAACCACTAAAAGTATAGTAAAAGAATATATACCTACAAACTAAAGAGGGGCAAAATAGAATAATTAGAAATAATACATCTGAAAGAAGGTAAGAAAGAGAAAAAAGAACATAGAATTGGCAGTATAAATTGAAAGCCAATAGTAGGTGTTAGATTTAAATCCAAATATAACAGCAATAACATTATATGTAAATCTACTATATACTCCAAACAAAAGACAGTAAAAATTTTCATTTTTTATGGGTAAGATTAAAACAATAACAATAATAACAAAACAACCATAGTATATATTGCTTACAAGAAACAGCTATAATGTAAGGATCCTGTAAGGTTTCAAGTAAAAGTTTGGAAAAAGATATGTCATTCAAGCAGGTAGCTGGTATAGCTATCTTTGTATTAAACAAAGTATAGATTTTAAGCCAAAAGCATTCCTCAGAATAATGAGGAACATTTTATAAAAATATAAAATCCAATTCTTCAGGAAGTTATAACAACTCAACATTTGTATATGCCTAATAATATAGTCTCAAAATATATGGGAAAGAACTGGCTAAAAGGAGACATAGATAAATCCTCAGTTATAGTGGAATATTTTAATATATATGTCTCAGTTATCAATAGAATAAGCAGACATTTTCTTTTTTGGAATTTGTCAAGCTAATCATATGGCTTTTTTTCTTTGACTTAGTAATGTAATCATTTTATATACTTTTTACTATTGAACTTTTGTACCTACGTAAAGTAGCTCCTGCTTGGTCTTGTTTGGTTATTCTTTTTTCACCTGCTTTTAAAATAGTTTCCTTTATTATCAAAATGATTTTAGTGAATTACTTTATACAAAGTAATACATGTGTGGCCCTTAAAAAATCAAATACTATTACAAGACTTTAAACAAAAATGAACAGTCCCTAGTCCCTACCTGCAATACCTGCTCCCTGGAAGCAATTTATGCCAGCTTTCTAGGCATTATTTTTGATATGTACTTTTTTTTTTTTGGGGGGGAAAAAAATGTAGTGTTTTTTTTTTTTTTTAGACATTATCTTTTGACTTTTCACTATCCCTCTAAGGACATCGCTACCTTAGACCTGATGACTGTGTTTCACCTACATTTAATCAGCATTTTAAAATGGGAAAATGTATTCCAAATTGTAACTTTGGACATTGGAAGCATATTTGTGAGCCCCACTTCTGCCCAATATGTCAGTGAGTGGTGCATTGTAGTTCCACTGCCAACATGGTATCCTGGGGGCCACACTGGGGTTCAGTCTCCTGAACTCCAGTGATTTGTTCTCTCTGTAATCAGAGCAAGCCATTCTTGATAGGAACCTGCCAGGAATTATGATTATTATGGGTTAGTATGGGGAAGAGAGAATATAGCTTCAAACATAGACTTCTCTCATTTCTCTACATTTATGTTCAGTAAGAAATTCAGTGTTTCTTATTTAGGGCCTGCCTATACATTGCTTACTTTGAATGAAGGAAATATGTTCTATTTCTATTTAAAACACACATACACATGCGCACACACACATTGTTGTTGTTGTTAGGTGGCATCAAGTCAGTTCCGACTCATAGTGACAGAACAAAACACTGCTTGGTCTTGCGCCATCCTCACCATTGTTGCTGTGTTTGAGCCCATTGTTGTAGCCACTGTGTCAGTCCATCTTATTGAGGGCGTTCCTCTTTTTCACTGGCCTTCTGCTTTACCAAGCATGATGTCCTACTCCAGGGACTTATCTGTCCTAATAACATGTTAGAACAATATATGTCCTTAAAAAAGGGAAATGAAATGGACATATTACCTAAGATAAAATATTGGAAGTGTTGTGGTCTTAATTTATTATTGTTAATTCATGGGAATTCTTTCCATTTTTTAAATCTAGGATCTTCTTAGTAATTTTATCAAGACATCTGAAAGTAATATAATGAGGCAGACCATTTGTAGTTACCTAGATTGTGAGCGATCTTGTGAAGCTGACATTTTACGGAACACCACTTATAAGGTACTATAATTAACAATTAACGGAGTATTTTTAAACATGTAATTATAAACGTAAACTTAGGTAAAAATTGTTATATTACCATGAATTAAAATATTGTTTAAACAGAGTATTTAGTTTAATTACAGTGTTAATCAGGCAAAAAAGAGTAGACTCAGGATCCAGGGTTTCAGATCTTTTGTTGTATAAGCATACAAAAATACTACATTGACTTGTTCAAATTATTGCCTTTTTTTTAATCCTAATTTTTCTGACTCTAGTAATGTAAAAATGGCTTTCAGTCTCCTTGATTACCCATGATCTATTGATAACTCTTTAATGCCATGTACAACTCATCTAGGGATAGAGCCGTTCTAAAAGCGACTTAGGGTGGCATTTTCTACAGTTGCATGCTCTGTTTCCATCTCAACAGTTTATTTTTATTCTTTCCCAGGGATTTGTTCAGTTAATGTGCAGTAAAAGCTGCTGTATTTATTTCCATAAAATTTGTTGGAAAAGGTTCAAGAACTTAAAATATCTAGGTGAAAATGATCAGGTATGATATTTGCTTTTCCTTCTTAAAACTTTACTGCTGGATTTCTTCCTCTACCTTTTCCCCTTTTTCTCTTCTCCCTTCATTTCTTCCTGTCCACATCCTCCCTCTTCCTCCTTTTTTTGTTCCTTTCTCCACTACCCCCTCACTGCTTCTTTTCTTTCCACTGCCCCATTCATCATCACCATTTATTAAACAACTCTTCATAGGGGTACTCTGCTAGTTGCCTTGCTCAGTGATTTCCATGGATTTGTTCCCTTCCGTCTGGGAGTTTATTTCTAAGATTAGCGATATTGTTGCCAATAGTTGATAAAGGACATAAAATCAAAGAATAGACTTGCTTAATTAACACACAGAAAGGTAAATTATACAATTTTAAGGATAATTTTTATTTTAGGGGTAGAGAACAATGATACATTTTATAGTCTTCAAAAATATATTTGGTATTATTTATATTTACCCAAAGTCATATAACTAAATTCAATTCTTTGCCACCAAATTAAAACGGAAGCCCAAAGCCCAATTCTACATCAGTTACTCTTTAGTGAGCTAATGATAACAAATTGGGTCTATAGTATTTGGTTGTATAGTGGTTCATTGTGCAAACAATAGAAAACCCTTATAAAGCGACTGTGGTGTAGTAGAAAGAGCATTGAATTTGTAGTTGGGAGATCTGAGTTGAAGTCTGGTTTGAGCCATTTACCCTTTTTTTTTGTTTGTTTGTTTTTTACATTTGGCAGGTAATTTAACCTCTTTGGGACTCATTTTTTAAAGCTATAAATTAAAGATAGTAATAACTACTTCATAAGATTGTTGTGAGTATTAACAGATAAAATAGGTGAACTCACATTGCAAATTATAAAAATTATTGTATAAGGCACTGTTACTCACTTTCTTAAGCAGTCTGTAAATACTTTGTAGTTTTTTCTGATTGTAAGGGCATAGATTTACTTGTTCAATTTCAAAAAGAGAAGTAAAAGAAGATTAATTTAACCAGAGGAAATAGCAAGGTCACAATCAGAATAAAGACTCAATATTTTTATTCTCTTTTCCCCAGAATCCTCATGTATCTAATAAAAATTTAGTATTCCTTTTTACGCCCACTCGATTAGTACATTGTATTTGAAGTCACTTTTCCTGGGGCAGTGAATACATTTTAGGCCCCTTGAAGATTTTGCAGTAGAAATGATGAGAGAGAAAGGTACAGCCATGCATTTTATGTAGGAAATCCATTGATGTATGAAGAGACCATCTTTGAGCAGCTCTCAAATGTTTGTTCATATTTTTCAGTTTTTCATCTACTAACATCTGCTTTTAACTATTTATTTACTGAAATGTAATCAGATTTGCACATCACCGATTCATCTCTATTGTCTTCTATTGTTTTTCTACTTACATTCTTAGAGTTTTAGTGGGAAAAAATGTTTGAAGGAAGAATGTACAGGTGACATTGTAAGGATGCTAGAGTGTGATACACCTGGAATTGTTAAAATTTTGGTGAGTATATTTTTCTTGCTTTCCTTCACTTTAATGGTATTTTTTTATTTAAAACAGATTTGCGAGTCATAATACAAGATTATGACTATTCTCTTTGATGGTGGCTAAGCCCTCTGACTTTTCTATTGCTTTAGTTTATCCAAAGAAATATTTAAGTGGTCTTTAAGAATAATAAAACTTTAAAAATAAAGAAAGGCAGAGAGAGGGACTGAGAAGAAAAGCAGAGATAAAGCAGGCCAGGCCAGTACCAGTGAGGAGAGTGTGTCATGAACCCGCGATGATAACTATCCCAGTTCAGGGCTACCTAAGGTTAGAAATAATTGTAGACTTTCTGAATTCCTGCAGTTTTTAAACATGATCCTATGAAAACAGCTAATCTTGAAATAGAACACACTAGATTGAATTTTTAATGAGACACCCATAGACTAAAATGTACTTAGGTGGTATCCATATTTTTTAATGAACTATTTTATTGACTTTTCAGTTTATAAATAAATAGACCAAAAGTATATGTAGAAATGTATCTTATTTATTTTGTTATCTTTAGATGCATCACTTTTGTATTTCAAATTTGGCATTAAAGCCCTATAACTAGAACTGCTTTTTAAGGAGGAGACTGTTGATTGATCGGGGTTTTTCTATGGTTTACCCTATTATTTCTGTTTATTTGTTTTCTATTCACTATGGCTTCATTTCACTCTTTTTTTTCAAATGTTAAGGTTAGAAGTAACGGTAATGAATTTTGAAAAATTGAACTAAATTGGGCTATTTTTTTTCCCCTATCACTTACAGTTTGAAGTTGTGAGAAAGAATGAATATATAACCATTGAAAATTTAGGAGCAAGGTAAGCTTGAAATAGAATATTCTGTTACTTTTTCCTGCACAAGTATAAGTTTTTCAGTTGCTTCTTTCTTCTGTGTTTCTTTCACTTATTGGAGCACCAGTAAATTTTTTTTTTTTAATAGTCAAGATTATTGGGTTTATTAGGGAAATAATAGGTTACAGTTCAGATTCAGGAATGCTCAGGATACAGTTCTTTGATCAGGACAGCATATTCTCAGCTGTGGTCGCAGGCATGCCTCTCTCGAGGCCCTTGGCCTCTGCCTTGCTCAGGCAAGTGTTACAAAGCTCTTTTAGCTATGCCGATAAGGGCCCAGAGGCACCCCACTCTGGAGCTCCAGTAAATTTAAAGACAGTATTAGGAGTGTGAAGGAGCCCTGGAGGTGCAGTGGTTAAAGCACTGGGCTGCTAACCAAAATGTCAGTGGTTCGAATCCACCCGCCGCTCTGTGGGAGAAAGATGTGGCAGTCAGCTTCCATAAAGATTACAGCCTTGGAAACCCTGTGGGGCAGTTCTACTCTGTCCTATAGGATCTCTATGAGTCGGAATCGACTCGACAGCAATGGGTTTTATTAGAAGTATGAAAAATTGTGTTTAATTGCCTGTTGTTACTCTCTTTCTTCTCATTTATGGTAGACATTTACATTCTAAAGCAGGGAAGGGGAAATTATGTGAATACTTTTAACTCAAGAGTGAAAATGATCCTTTCTTGAAATAAATTCTTTTTCCTTAAAGTTATTTAAATTAGATATTATGCTATAAAAACTTTTTCCTAGCTTTCAAAACTCATCCAGAAACAACAGTAACAAAGAAAAACAAAACAAAGCAAAACAAACTCATCCAGGCCCTTTAGCTTGTCTCATAATTAGAATCTTCTTCTTTTTGAAAGATACAATATTTTATTTCTAGTTAACCACAGTTACTTACTAATGGGATATATGTTTCTGTTGGGCATTGTACAACTTCTCAAACCAGGGAGTTAGTTTGGCCATTAGGCCATCACCACCCTTGCTTCCTATTTACATTGATTTTTGTGTGGTATTTGCTTTTTCTTTTTTTTTTTTTTTTTTAACATTTTATTGTGATTTAGGTGAAAGTTTACAGAGCAAATTAGTTTCTCATTAAAAAATTTATACACAAATTGATTTGTGACATTGGTTGCAATCCCCACAATGTGTCAACCCTCTCTTCGTTTCTATTCGTCCAGTTTTCCTGTCCCTTCCTACCTTTTCATCCTTGCTTTTGGGCAAGTGTTGCCCGTTTGGTCTTGTATACTTGATTGATCTAAGAAGCATGTTCCTCACCAGTGTTATTGTTTGTTTTATAGGCTTGTCTAATATTTGCCTGAAAAGTGAATTTTGGGAGTGGCTTCCAAAGTTAGAAGGGTGTCTGGGGGCCATAGTCTCAGGGGTTCCTCTAGCATCTGTCAGACCGGTAAGTCTGGTCTTTTTTGTGAATTTGAATTTTGTTCTACATTTTTTTCCCGCTTGGTCTTGGACCCTCCATTGTGATCTCTGTCAGATCAGTGCATGATGGTAGCTGGGCACCATCTAGTTCTTCTGGGCTCAGGCTGGTGGAGGCTGTGGTTCATGTGGTCCATTAGTCCTTTGGACTAATTGTTTCATTGTTATTCCTGTTTCTTAAGTGAGCAAACTTTAGGTTGCAGAAAACCATATATTATATGCTGAAAATTCACAGAGGTAAATTGCTGCTATTGAAATTAGAAGTTTCAATAAAAAATTTCTCCTGAATATTGCGCAGGTCAGGTGGAGGTATATGGGAACTCTGTGTACACTCTGCACAATTTTTCTGTAAACCTAAAACTGTACTGAAAAATAAAGTCTATTAAAAAGATTTAAAAAATGAAATATATTACTTTTCTGCTTGAAAATCTTTCAAAGACTTCTGGTTGCTCTTAAAATTAAGTTCAGATTCCTTCAGCAATCTTGGCCTCTGCTGAGTCATTAGCATCGTCCTTGAACCCTTCTCCAACGACTATGTTTAACTGCTTTTCATTTCTTGAACATGCCATCTGTTGTGCCTCCAGGGCCTTGCCTGGTCTACCTGGTTAAAACCTCCAGAAAGCCTCACCTAGGTTAGATTAGGTGGTCCTTGCATTCCCTCTAAGTCTCCTATCAGAACATTTACTACATCTTATTATACTTTCTTGTTTATCATCTCTAGTGGCTATAACCTTCAAGAGGATGAGAACTTTATCTTGCTTGCTAGTGTCTCCTCAGTCGATAGCATAATGCCTAGCACATAGCGGGCACCCAGTAAATCTGTAATAGATGTAGAGATTCTGAACTCTATTATTCTCCAGCAGATAATGTTACTTTTGTTTTGGAAGGCAATTAATTTGTTTGGATATGAACTGTGAACTCTGTTTCTTGGGTTGTGGTTCCATTCTCAGTTCAGATATATTGCCCTTTAGCTGAGCTGCTTTGAATCTGTTCCACACCTGTGTGGTCCATTGGTTAGAGATGTGACTAGAAAGAATTTGGGGATGTCTTTTCTGGCTCTTTCCCTTCTAGGATTCCCCCACTTTCTTCAGCAAACATGGATCCCTGGCTTCAATTTTCTGATTCTCTGGATCAACGGGACCTTGGATTTTCTACCAGATGCGGTTCGAGTTTATCCAGAGTAGCCTTAGGCCTGGCAGTCTACTGCCAAAAGATAAAACCATTGAAAGCTCTATGGAGTACACACAGTTCTACTCAGCACATGAATCAGAATTGACTCAATGACAACTTATTGTTGTTTTAAATAGTTTGCTCTAGACTAAAAGCCACAGAATTGGTGAACTTACCTTACACAGTTGCTCTCCCCTACCGTGAGCACATACTCCCCACTGTGGGTCTGCTTCAGTTGACTCTCCATTGCCTTCAGTGGGTTGCTTTGTGAAATTTGCCAAGGTTTTATAGTTGTCTTCTGTGAGAGTCCTCTGGTAGAATCTTAGTATGAAAAGTAGAAGAGCTACTTTATGAGATTTTATGAATAAATGACAAAATGTTTGATTTTTTTTGACTTGAAAATGTTTTATTGTTATTAAAATATACATAAAGTAAAGTGCACACAATATAAATGCAGAGTTTAACAAACAATTACAAAACAGACATCCTTGTGACTCAACCCAGGTCAAGAAATAGAATTTTGCCAGCACCGCAGAAGTACCCTATGTGCCCTTCCCCCCACAACCTCTCTTTCTCCTTTGTTGTTGTTGCTAGGTGCTATCCAGTTGATTTCAGAGTAGAACTGCCCCAAAGAGTTTTCTAGGCTATAATCTTCATGGGACCAGATTGCCGCTGGAGCCTCTAGGTGGGTTTGAACCATCACCCTTTTGATTAACAGCCAAGTGTTTAGTTAACCATTGTGGCACCGGGGCTCCTTTACTGCTGCCTAGGTAATCATTATCCTGACTTTCATGGTAATCATTTCCTTGTTATTATAATTGTAGCAGTTGTAAATGCATTTTTCTAAACACTAATTTTTTTAGGTCAGGTTTATCAATCTACAGTTCATATACAGTAAAATCCACTCTTAAAATGTACGGTTAAAGAATTTCAACAAATGTATATAGGTAGGTGACCAGTACCATGATCAAGGTAGAGAACATTTCATCATCTCAAGAAGTTCCCTCACTCTCTTTTGCAGCCGTTCTCCTCCAGCCTCCAGCCCCTTGTAACCATTGATACGATTTCTTTTTTATAATTTTTATTGTACATTAGATGAAGGTTTACGAACAAATAGTTTCTCATTAAACAGTCAGTACACATATTGTTTTATGACATTGGTTAACAATCCCACTACATGTCCACACTTTCGCTTCTCAACCTTGGAGGACCTTTTTTTTTTTTGGTGAAAATATACATAGCCAAAGATACACCATTACAAAAGTTTCTACATGTACAATTCAGTGACATCGACTACATTCTTCCAGTTGAGCTGCTATTCTCACTATCCTTTTCCAAATTATTTCATCACCATTATCTTCAACTCACTGCCCCCAGGCTTCCAATCAAATCTTTTTTGAGTTGCTGTTGTCTGTTTGATCTCGCATATATAATTCTTTTTTTTTTTTTGGTACTTTAGACGAAGGTTTGCAGAACAAATAGTTTCTCATTAAACAGTTAGTACACATATTGCCCTATGACAATGGTTAATGACCCCGTGACATGTCCATACTGTCCCTTCTCAATGGTGGGTTCCCTGTCACCATCTTTCTTGTCCCCTCCTGCCTGCTAGTCCTTGTACCTGTACTGCTGTGCCTCATGGGTACCATTTTATTTTATAAGGCTGTCCAATCCCCAGCTGAACAGTAAACTTTGGGAGTGACTTAACCACTAAGCTAAAAGGGTGTTTGGGGGACATACTCTTGGGGTTTCTGCAGTCTGTCAGGCCAGTAAATCTGGCCTTTTTTTTATGAGTTAGAATTTTGTTCTACATCCTTTTCCAGCTCTGTCCAGGACCCTCTATTATGATCCTGGTCAGAGCAGTCAGTGGTGGTTGCTAGGCACCATCTAGCTGTACTGGACTCAGTCTGGTGGAGGCTTTGGTAGCTGTGGTCCATTAGTCCTTTGGACTAATCTTTTCCTTGTATCCTGTTCTCTTCATTCTCCCTTGCTCCCAAAAGGGTGAGACCTGTGGAGTATCTTAGATGGCTGCTCACAGGCTTTTAAGACCCGAGACGCTACTCACCAAGGTAGAATGTAGAACATTGTCTTTATAAACTGTGTTATGCCAATTGAGCTAGGTGTTCCCCAAGACCGTGGTCCCCACAGCCCTCTGCCCAACAATTCAGTCCCTCAGGGAGTTTGGATGTGTCTATGGAGCTTCCATGACCTTTCCTTGTACAAGTTGTGCTGTTTTCCCCAGTATTGTGTACTGTCTCACCCTTCGCCAAAGATACCACTTATCTATTGCCAATTTAGTATTCCCCCCATCCCTCATAACCAACAAAGATTCTTACTTTTTGTGTGTAAACTTTTTCATGAGTTTTTAAAA